TGTGAGATTTAGTTTTATAGAAAAACTATATGATTTATTATTATGACATTGTGTATCATTTTATCGAAGACCTCTCAGTAAGCATAGCCCTAATTACGCATAATTCTAAATAACCTTCATAGCTATCGAAGCTAACTTATAACCTTGATTACTCCGAGCACTCATTTTACCTTTGAATTCTCATTTCAAAAACACGTTCTCAAACCCACTTTTACAATATCACTGTGCAACCTTCCGTAAACGCATCTCGTCACCATGATTAGGTACTACACATATCAGTTTTCTCCGTAACTACGTTTTGCTTCAAACTTCGAGTCTAGCCTTTCGTTCCTGTCTTTTATTCGTGTCTGGTAACACTGTGTATCTACGCATTTGCCTACACTAACCACATATAAATATTCTTTCGTTATATCCACTAACGTCGCACGAATTACATTCATTGACCTTGAGAAAGTGCAGGACACAAAAGGCAAAGGTATGATAAGTTTACTTGAAATTAATATATACGTATACTTGTCGACCCCTCCTTAACGACACCCAAGTTGAACGAGGTCACTCAGGTGGCGACAGCACGCGGACCCGACACGCCCTAGCGTGTCAAACGGCAGAAATCGAATCTATCATTAGGTCCATACAGCGTTAATTATTCGGTAAGGGGCGCTATTGTGAGTAAACGTACCATATGCATATGTAGCCCTCACATTCAGCAAATACATAATAACAAGCGTTCGATAGTTCGTCGTATATCTACGCATGCTACATGTGAACGATACTTTCTCCACATTGCTCATAACTGAATCGGGCTTGATAAAGAAAGGCACGAGCAAGCTTTACTTACCTGTAATATGGACGGCTCTGCTATGAAATAAATTGGGTATCTTCCTGTATAATACAATTTGACATTAATATCGCTATATTAATAAGCCGTTACGGTCATTCGGAAATTGCTGAAGGATAGTTGAGATTCATTAAGTATTTAATTTGTAAAATTATACAAAAAGATACTTAATACAAAAAGAGCTAGCATAATGCGCGAATAAATTAGGGTCAAACCTGACTCGCTTAGCCCCCTGCTTAGGTGACCCCTCACTTACAGGTCACGGGGTCAATCGGATAGAGATCCGTTAGCGTGCCAGTAACCTATTCAGAACCAGTTAGATACTGTCAGTAAATTTTTACCCCGGGTTCACAATCCTTGCCGCGTCTAGCCTTGACCCACTGTTTATGCGATATATCACGATTATTCGTTGATCTACAGTCTAAAAGTACGTGTTTCGAATTTTACGTTCAGAGCTTCCGTTAGACACGGTTTCACATAGCCGTAAAGCCGTAATCTACGTGCAAAATATATGATGCATCGGGAGGTCTGATGAAAGCAATAGGTAAACAAAAGGGTAATATAATGTTAATTAGTAACTGGTAATACTTACCAACTTTTCGTTTCTTCATATTGTTTTCGATTTTGTTTAAGCTTCACTTAATTAGGGGTTAATGTTGTAGGTATAGAAAGTTCCAAATTATCGATTAGCAGAAACACGTGTGGATAATTGCTAAACGCTATTTTTATACCACTAAATATTGTTAGAATGATCTGATGATGTTATATTAGATTGCTTCACGTTGGCCTGAACTGTTTTTTTGCTTGATTTGGTCGTCCTTTGCAAATCGTTTTAGGTGTGAAGAAGTGATCCTTCGGCATAAGTCAACATTGAAATCGTGGTCAGCAATCATTCAACCCTGTAGAAGTCATACAGGTAATCACAGAAATAAGCAAAAATCAAATCACGCAGGTATAGAAACGCAGGGTTGGTCTAAAGTTCGCAATGATTGTTTAGTTCGGCAACACTGCACAGTCCATTGGATTGGACTAAATCAGGCTATTTCTATGATACGCTGCGGTGTCTGTTTCTGCGGATTCGCGAATATGGTGTAGCGATACAACTTCTTGCCGTTCTGTCCTGTACCGTTACTTCGTTACAGTTGTCACTGGTAAAGCTGGCTGAAGTGGCTGAAAACGACGAGTATGACGTTGCCATGAACATCAGCGACGGGTACAGCAATGGTGGATACAGCTACGGCGATGACAGTGAAACGTGCAGGACGTTTACTGCGGCACCGGGCTGTTTAATCATAGCTTGTTTATTTGCCTGGTAACAGGACTGCGACGTGGAGCGATGACTGACAACAGAGCAACTTCTGCCTCTTGTTGTGACGACGAAGTCTGTTGGAATATTTGGCTGTGTGAAACTGCCCAAAGCAGAAACGAGCTGCCATTGACTTGTATGACGATATTCGTCTCAGACTTAACCAAACGATAGTTTGGCAAGGTGAATATTGGTCGGAGCGTTTCCTAAATGCGAGTTGTCGCGGCCACGCGGAGATGGGGGGGGGGGGTCGCGATATGCCGCCGGCGTTAGCTTCTAAAACGATCACCGCGTAACTGTAAAATGAGTTCCGCAGAGAATCATTCAACACGAGGCAAGTCAACTCGTCAAATAACATTAACAATAGCAGTAAAAGAAATCAGCGACGAATGCAGCTAAGGTCGCTTCGTAGAGGAACTGTGTAGAAATAAGGCTTCAGACTGCAAAACGATGTAGGAGAAGGGTCAGCAATAAATTTCTCCTTTCAAGACTAGATGCATCTTCAATTTTTCACCACTTAAATCTTTGTATGATTTCTACCACGTTTAAATGATTGAAACCTACTAGATCTTTTAGGAAGATACGATTAGGCGTCAAAGGATTTTCTCACCGAGGCTGCGAAGCATATGGTCTTATTTCAGTAATTTCGATTTGTGTGTACACCGAGAGGTATACGTGTAGTGTAGTACATAATATTTCTCTTAGATTAATTCGCCAATTATAGAAACCGACGCGTTATACTGCGCTCATAATTGTTGAACAGTACTCAAGCAAAGGCGTATAAATGGGCGTGAAACCCTTACAGGGTTCGACGTAGCATATGACTAATTACAAATAAAAAAAAATCAAATACATGACTATAGGTAGCGAGAGTCGGATCGTCAGTTTCGAAAAGTCGAAGCGCATTTGATGCGTTCTATAACAGTTTGGTTAGTACATCTTAGTAGTAGCGGTACATCTTCGCTATGTTTATCGAACCTGTGTCTAAAATAAAGATTTTCATATTTCGTCTTTTTATATTCAAATATTTCAGTTTTATTATATAACAGAATAAATTGAAATTGTATTTTACTGATGTGACCTAGTGGTCGTTGTAGAGGGAAATCAATACTATTAAGTCTGACCCTAGCAAGGATAGTCGCTCAGGTCAGTGCAAAAGAATTATTTAGAAAATCAAATGGCGTGCCGCCTTAGTTAAACGCAACTTTTTCTTTGTACGGTAGAAACAAGTAGCCCATGTTCAATTGATGAGCGAAGATTAACTGTTACTGAGTACTTTTATGCCGGACAAACTCCTACCAACACTGTGAACTGCCCAAAATCTAGCTACTCGAAATCGTCGGTTTACAGCATTATTCCTGAGTGCACGACCGCTGAAAACAATGCAACGAACGAACCCTCACCTCCAATAAATGAAAAAATGTCATTGCATTTTTTGATTATCGCCGTCTTTGGATACGTCGCGGCAAGTAAAATGACTGTAATCGTTTCCGAAGACTTTGCTACACATCGTATGGCACAAAATCAAGCATAAACGTTCTGAGAACATTAATGTCAAAAGATATGATTGGTGCATCTGGTACCTAAATACTTCGAAGTAAAAAAGAGCAGACCGTCTTCGATTCTTTCACGGTGAAAAATTTACACTATAAATACAAGACTCAATCTCAAAAATCGCCGCGATTAAGAGAGGGTTCCCATAATATGTAAGACTAAATTCTCAGCCAGTATTCATTTACTGAGGCTTGTTTCGTAACCAAAACCCGATACCTTTTTCAATTGCCGTGTACTGTGATCCGGATGCTCTAGAAACTGTCGCGAAGACTGTGGACAGTTATCGCGTCGAATAATTGGCCATATGTCCTTCAAAAAGCAATGCATCCGCTCACATGAACATATCAGTGCAGGGCTGGCTGGCTAAACCTGCACAGCCAAGCAGATTTCAATTCATTAGATCAAACAGGTTTGTGAATGCCGTAAATTACAAATTGAACCCGCGATAAAGTAGCTTCATGAACTAAATAAACACGCTATGTCAAGGATGTCTCTGCGGCCATATGCAAATAAATCCATTCAGATATTCGCCTCTATTTTAATACCGTTTATAAACAAAACAAACAATTTTCGTCCCACTTTACCCCAACCACTCTGTGCATATGACACACATATATATATATATATATAGTAACATGGTTACCAAGGTCACAATTATCTGATGTTCTGACCCCACATAGCGTTTCTATGATTAGCGTTTGATTTGAATATGGTCGGATAGATAAACCCTCCATATACGAAATAGACGCCAATGCCATATAGAAATGGCATTGGCGTATTTCGTATGTAAAATAGGTTAAAAAGCCGGCAACGTTGCAATGCTTAATATGCGTACGTATTAGAGATGTCAACTGCGATCGTGTCTACCTAGCACGGAGTGTAAAGCTCAAAGAGCTATGCCCTATAGGTTCTATATCGTCTCAATAGAATACTACAACCGTAGAAATTTGCAAATAGTAAATAGTTCTATGTTCAATGTATATTCAAAGTTCATGCAGAACCGTTTACGAGATGACAGATTATCGATTGAACGGTGAATCTTTTAAAAATGTTCTCTCATTAATTAATTTCTGTCTACAATAAATGTTGGTTAGAAGCTCTTCTTCATTGCCGATATGATGTTTTGATTGTTATTATCATGCTGTATTTTTTGGTAATAATGTCCCACCATTAAATCGGCAGGTTAGACCAGATCGTTGTTGTTGTTGAGTGGTGTGTATTTGATGCGGCCTTAATGCGTTTCGTGTTTACAATCTGATCCGATATATGGATTAGATGTTGGCAGACCGCATTTTACACCACTAACGTTCACCGCGAATCAAAAACAATTATATTCAAAAGCTGTCGGAATTTCCTCAGCGCGACCCGTTTCCAACGGTGAGTTCCATTAACTGGTAGCGCCGCCTGCCGCTTAGTTACTTACTGAACGCACCCCTGTCATAGGAGTTTATCTACGTTTCTTTACGTCATAAGTTTCTATTGTTAAAGTACAAATGATATTTTGCGTTGTGACAAAAACGATGAAGAAGCATAAACGCCAATTCGGCTACTGTTTTCGGAGACAATGTAGCGATGTTACTTAATGCTATGGTCATTAAAGTAGGTATCCTTGCCGTCACGGTGGCAATGGTTAAGATGTCATCATACGATTATATCGCTTGTAAATATATATAGGCGTATAATCGATAAAAACTACATTGGTCGCAAATACATTATACAGCACATATCTGGTATAGACAAAATACGCGCCTACAAGCGGCCCGTAACGTTTCATATTGAACCAAAATTGGGAGTACCTGAATAAAGCGGATTCTTGATATCCTTTAATGCACGCGCTGGGCAGCTTTCCAGTAGTTGTTGTCGAAGTGGCGATGTCTATCTCGGGCCGCTGCTCAACCAGCAAGAAGCGGTTGGAATCGATCGCCTATGTATATTATTGCGGCTTGTTTCTGCTTGTTAATAATTAGCGAAGCTGAAAAATATTTGAAATTATGTAAATACATATGTATAGAAACAGGGATATAAGTGTGTTGAATAGCGCAAATTCAGCTTGACATTCGTGTTGAATTTTTCATAATTTCATATCGAGGCATTGCGATTCGGTTTGCTAGCATTTTCGTTAGCGTGCTGCTCTATGTTCATATTCTTAATATGTGCTGGTGAATATGTCCAGGGTAGAAATTATAACCCGCACTGAATTTATAGTGACTGAAATATATAATGCATGTAAAATTATATGAAAAGTGTTAGCGTGTCTCGGTGATCGAGCAGTAGATGAATAGGGTCTAACGATTTTCTAAAGATTTCCCAATAATGACCCTGTATCAATGTGCCTACGCATAAGCGGGTGCTTCTCGAAGTTACGATGAGCACCGCCCTAATAAATAGAATTGTCGATGCGCGTGCCTTTCCCCGATCCGTCACGTTCAGTATTCGTATGAACGCTCCACTGAACCCCTGATTTTATTTCGTATCTCCATTTTTTTATAATACACCATCAGCCAATTAAGCACTTCTTCTCGGCTTCAACAATTAATCTATCTAATCATCCTGTTGTCTACAATTTGCAAAACACTTCACAATTATGCAGGTAAATGTTCCGCCTATGAGGCGCGGGGCGTAAGAGGAACGGATATAAAACTGGGGAGTCCGCATCTGTAAAAGTTAAATTAGGCGAACCTTTAATAAACACACGCCGGACCTTTACGGTTCAGTTATAAGAATGTAAAAAGCCTTCTGCATTTTAAGATGGCTTCAAGATTTAAAGTTGGTTACCCCACTATTACTGAGATATGAATGGGATACGAATAAGGCAAATAAAAATTATGAAAATTTTATAGAGTATCTGGTGTTATTTAAAACACCGTTCGGATAAAACAGTCCAACAATGTTGAGATAAATTACCTATAAGTGTCATTTCAATAAGAATCATTTCATGTGCATGCAGGTTTAACAGTCAATTTGAAATAGTATTTATACTGTGATATTGTTGCCTTACCAGAGTAGAAAAATGTTAACGGCCCAGTACAATCTTATCGTAACCCTACTGTGTTAACTAGACGTTATACCAATAAAATAATCTAATTTATAGCAGTCTGTAGAATAGCTCCATAAACTTAAAATTTCGTGACTTTATGAAATTGCGCTGTTTTCTTGTGTTTTTCGTAGAATATGGAGGTGGAAAAGATGTCTTCCGAGTTTGTGAGGCTCACGGTAACGACCGAAGGTTCCGATCTTGGATGCGAGCGGGCTTTCAATCGTAACATCACCGTAGGCGAGCTAAAACAGCGGCTAGAATTGTTAACTGGTGCTGCCTACAATCGCATGAAGCTAGAGCTACGTAACAAAGAATCACCTAACCAACTGCTAGAAGCACTTAATGAAGATGATAGAAAAATCGGTGACTACCCCGCGATGGACACTGGCCTGCTTCTCAAAGTGATCGATCCCTCTATGGGCATTTTTGACGAAGTGGACGCGGTTGAAAAGATGAAAATTTCAGAAGATAGATATGCCCAAGTGAATAACGTTCGAAGTTTTATGCAACAACATGGTTTAGGACGGTTTTCGAATAAGACGGTTAACGAATCAAACAAGACGGATAAGGAAAATTTAAAGGGTAAACGTTGTATCTAGAAAATATGTATTACTAGTGAAATTAGGCCGAACTTCGCCGATGCGTCCATATCGGTGATGCACAATTGAATATTTTATACTAGTTCTATAATGCGGTAGTTAGTAGTAGCAAATAGTTGATTCGCTAGTAATGACGATATTATTAGTCGCATAACTCACACCTAACCAATTGGCGTTTGTTTTTCTTGTGATTTTTATTTCGCTAGAAATCGAGGTCGGAAAGCGCTGTGAGGTACGTACTAAAGGAACCCCTGCTCGTCGCGGAGAAGTCAAGTACATTGGAGAGATTTGTCTGAAACCCGGTGTGACCTTTATCGGAGTCTGCCTTGATGAACCATTGGGAAAGAACGATGGTACTGCGGGTGAGGTGCGATATTTCAAATGCGAACCTAAGCATGGCGTCTTTGTAAGACCGGCTGACATTGAGGTGGGCAATTTCCCGGAAATATCGCTCGAGGACGAACTGGACGAAATCTGATTTTAACCGGCCTCGTCGACCGCGATGCCAACAACTGCTGAATCCAACGTCTAGAAATCGGCTTCAGCCCCAGATAGCGCAGTGGAGTTCTTAATTTAGAAAGGATTGATGCATCGATTCGAAAACGGATCTAACCAATAATTAACACTTCGAACCTAGGAGTTAAGCGAAGCGAACAGTCATCCTTAATGATGTAATATAAGTTCAAATTAAATTCAACCCTTAAAGAGAGTCAATTTAATTCAGTAACGACTGAAGGCTTTAAACTGATTTTAGTTCAGGCGGGCATTAGGTTAAGTAAAATATCAACAAGAGGGAATCTTATACCATTGGAAAATTATTAGAGGATAAAGAAATATGAAGGTCAACTCAATGTTCACACTTTCTTATACTGCCTGTCGGATACTGCAGTGGGCACGCAGTCGCTTGGCAACATAAAAGAATAGTCGAATATGCATCACCTGTGATTCTATAAAATTGAATTTAAGATGTTTTGCGATTCTTCTCTGTCTAGTTTTGCCAGACCGTCATCGCACCGGCCAATGGCAAAAGATCTAAGAAATAGAAAAATGACATATATTTATGACACAAATTCTCCACATTTTGCATTGGGATAACCTTCGATGACGACAGCATCAACAACAGTGGACTGCCCCATTTGAGCCGCGGGGAAAACAAACAAGCAAAAGTATTAAAACGAAATAAAACTAGTTAAAGATGGGAAAATTAATTATTTAAAAAGCACTAGAGCATAATAGAGGCATGTGACTTATTTATTTTTGCACCTATGGACTAAGCAAGCTGAATACCATGGTGACGAGCCTATCAGCAAGATAATGATGATAATAGCACCTTCAACAACATGCTTTAAAACACATATCTACACAATGTGTTACTCGGCAGAGACAGAAAAAAAGGGACTTTCGGCAAAATGCTTCCGAAAAACGAATTGTTCTTGCAATGCAGATGCAATGTGTTGCAAATACGGAAAATTATTTTGCGTCAACTCAGTTTCGAGGGCAAATGGGTAAGTACCGTCGACACGTGATACTTCGAACGCTTTCTAATAAAACGGAAAAATAAGATATTAAACAGACCGTTTGTACTTATTTTTTCATCGTTATAGATAGAAATTATTACTTTATGAAACGGAACGAGAAAGATAATCTTTGGAATCGAACGCAAACAAGTTACTTGAACAAGGTAGTTGAACTTGTCTATTTGAATCGTGAAATCCAATACATGTACATATTAAAATTAGGTCTTCGGTTTATTTCATAATTATAATAACCATAATTATTATCAGCTATTAGCGGTATTTATGTAATCAAAAGATAATGTGTGTTACAATTAAATTGTGGTAAGAGCATCGAACTGATTTGGCTAGGGAAAACTTTGTTTAATTTGACGACCGGTAAAATAGATTTCTATTATATATATATGTGTAGAAGGAGCGGGTTTTTATCTTTGGTTATTCGATCGACTGATTAGTTGGTTAAAATCCAGTTTATAGGTTTGAGATCTTTAGTGAATTCTTGAGCAAGGAACAAGGCATGTATAATCAAGACATAATCATTCAGGTCTAAGTGAGAACAATGCTTGCCAGTTTCGCAATTATACAAATGTTGTTATCAATCAATTCAGCTAGTTGAACGCTTGTTGGCTCATTGTGTATCAAGCTGCTATTTGTAATGACTACTCGCACGACATACCTAATTTTCGAGACGCAGAGAAACCTGTGTTTTCAATGTGCGTTCAACCTATGCCGTCATTGATTTGATAAAAAAAAAAAACCTGTGCGTGGCAATTCTAATTGCTAGGGGACCGCTGAAGGTTCGGCAGGCTATGACAACTGTTGTACTCAGTTTTACCCCTTAATGTGGACTATTGAATTTAATAAGCAAATGCAAAATTTGCCATCACATACGAGTAGACTGTATTCAACCTTGGTATTTAACATATTCAGTGGGAGCTACCATAAACGAGCTAAAAGAGTGGTTTTCCAACCTCCAAACTACAACATGCACTGCAAAGGATCGCTTAACTAAGCAGTGTATGGGACCGAATTCTATGAGATTTTGCTAGTATATATCCGCTAAGAAACAGCTCAGAACTCACTTGAGACTCATTTGCAACTGATTGCGTCCGTATCGAATAATAGTAACCACCAATCAGGTCAAGTTCCTAATGAAATTATTAAGGATCCCTCAGGCAATTATATACCAAACACTCCGATTAGTCAATCTTGGCTATTCAATAAGCCATCAATGATTTAAGCAGATTTTTCTAATTTGAATTTTTTTACAAGAGTCTTATACGATAGAATTCCAGTCTTATATTTAAAGCAATTACCATCGTTTAAAAAGAAAAGCGGTTTTCCTAATACAGTCAAATAATGACTTGCCCAGCTTAATCTTAAGGAGCAAATATTTGCGTCCCTTATTAGGCACCTTCAATAGTGAGCAATGTTTGAATTTTTCTTGAGCTACACTTGCGTATTAAGTCACATTTATTGGTTTTTTTTTTTGACATTCTTTCAATATTTGCCACAACCTTACAACCATAAAAACTAGCGTTTCCTTCAATAATTGTTTTTGTTTTGCTGCTTTAAGTATACTAATTTTATTCCCTTACTATATAACGTTGATTTAATGCTAAGAATTTTATTGCGTGCTATGCTACTAAGCCTCTAGAGATCAGTTCATAGGCTGACCACTGATTTTACTCAAATAGCTTCTATCTGCTAAGGGATGCAATACCATAATTTCCATTTCTCTCTAGAATTCTGATTTCATTTTTTCTCTATAACTGACTGACTTTTAGCATTTAGGTTGTATAGAGCAACTTTAAATATTCTTGATAATGACAAAAGTACCAACAAGCCTCAGACATTCTTTACTTCTATTTTATGTTCTTTTAATTGGTCTTTAAAGGTCTCTATACCGTCTAGATGGAACTGTTTGAAATATTTTGATATGTGCTTTACAGGCATAGAAAGGTTCTCATATTGCGTTTAACATGAGACGAAGACCTTGATTATGGAAACTGCGAACGAGGAAGGCAATAAGCACCCGCTAGTTTTCAAATTTACTTTGAACAATCTCTAGGGCGCCGATCTTAAATTGTCCTTGCAGCCGGATGCAATAAAATACAATTATAGCATATTCAAATATATTTTCAAGTTACTACCGCATTCGTGCACATAATTTTAAGGTAACTTTATTAGTTGGGTATCATCACATCACTTGCCAATATGTTCTGGCTATCAGTCTGTTTGATTATATTTGTATATGCGTTCTATACGACGGCACATATTCTAAGATATGCGATGCCGAGTTTAAAAATCTTGATAACAGCGGTACCATGACAACAGAAGTTGTTGCATCCATGGGTATCTAATGGCTGCTAATGGTCGATATTAATAGATTAGACAGACTTACACGACCTGATCACAGGCAACGCAATCAACAAATATTTGTTTCTAATGCCCCTTAGGGCTATCTGTGATGGATTCATTAGAGAGTATAGTATTATGTATATAAACAATATACCACGGCTCTCTATTTCGACTTACCCTAGGACCCCTATCCTACATAAAATAATAGTTGCTATTTTTAAGTGTTTCCGTCTAAATGGCGTAATCCTAACCCTCAATAAGTTCGGAGTTTCCCTTATTAGTACGTGCTTTCCTCGTGACACCGAAGAAACGTCAATTCCGTTTCGTACCATGAGAATTCAGCGAAGATGACAAACATATGCCAGATGTGGCATAAGTTGACAACACCGGCAGAGGGACACTCGTAAACATGGCGGATGCCAGCCCGGTAAAATGAACACCATGAGAACTTGTCGGAGGAGTCTCACAAAAGTCGAGTGAATACCGTCAGTGTGCCGTCGGTATAAGAGCAAAGACGACGTACAGCGTAATCACGATATTACGCCGCGCCTCGTAGCTGGAAAACCTATAACGGGTGAAAGATCGTTAGGTAGATCGTCGGTACACTGACAGACTCGCAAGTCAGATAGAACTGCTGCCATAATGGGTTCTGGTGAAATGCGTAGGTACCTGCGAAAATCAGGTTGTAGTACGGAAAAAAGGAGGGAAAATATTATGAGCATCCATTGTCATTTGCAGATGGTTTAACTGATTGCCTATCACAGACGACGATCAGCTGAAAATTAGGTAAAAAAAGAATGAATCGAAGCCTGCGTTTCAGTTGGTAACATTCAAAAATATGAGATATGCCATTTTCAAGAGATACTGCTAAGTAATTGAACAGTTAGTTATACCACCTAAAACAGTTGAAAACAGTTATGATCGTGACGCTGAGTAAAAGTTCAATGCCTTGAGCAGCAAATAATAAGCTTTTTCGTGTATGCACTTAAATGTGTGATACAGAGATGAAAGCAGTAGGGTCATACATCGCCGTTACAAGAACGCAGGTGAGACTCTGAAACACAACGGATAATTAGTAATGATTATAGGGGTTATTTTACGATACCCGGCTCACTCAGAACACCGCTGGAAGTTAGACATAGGAAACTCATAGCTATATTAGGGCATTTCAAGCTCGCGGAGGCATCTAAAAAATGGGTTACCAAATAGATACCTCTTTTCAGACAGCTCTTACATAGTCTGTGGGCTGATTTTGTATTATTTTAAAACTGATGGCTTAAATTGTGTTCTTCGCAATCTCATCTCCTTCGGTAAGTGAGCTGTTTTGGGCATAAACATTTAGTACTTTGTATACCTCTAAGTAAGGGACTTATTGTACTTCCTCAACAATGATACAGTAAAAAAACAGCTGGCTCTTGGCGAAGCGTCAATCAACGACAATTTTGGTATCTATATGCTCATGGTCTCGTTATGCCATTGCAAATATAGCTTGTAATTCATTCTCGTGGGCTACAGTGCACCAGCTAACTGAAATCAAAAAAAAAAAACAATACGAATTTATTTACAAGTAAGTACAGCATAATAGATTTGCTATGTGGTCGGCGCACTGGCCAACTGTTTACTCGCAATCATCATATCCAAAGCCACATTGTGCGAAGATTTTCGAAATCATTGTTCCACTGTCGTGAAAAATCTTCGAATTCGCGAATCTTCGAAAGCAATTTTCGAAGCTTTCGAAACTCTAATCAGTTTATCGTACTATTATATTTAAATGCGTTGAACTATTAGCTTGAAAACAAAGTCGAAGGAGTATTAGAATTCGGAATAATGCTGCGTCAGGCACAAAAGGCGACGTGCACTTACCTGCAACTAGCGGAGTCAGGAAACGCTCGTTAAATGCTTACAA